ATCAAAGGGCTGGAGTTCTCGGAGGGCTTGGCCCAGGGCAAGAAGCAGCGCCTAAGTAAGAAGCTACGGAGGAAGTTACAGATGTGGCTGTGGTCGCAGACCTTCTGCCCCGTGCTGTACGCGTGGAACGACCTGGGCAGCCGCTTCTGGCCGCGCTACGTGAAGGTGGGCAGCTGTTTCAGCAAGCGCTCGTGCTCCGTTCCTGAGGGCATGCTTTGCAAGCCGTCCAAGTCGGTGCACCTCACCGTGCTGCGGTGGCGCTGTCAGCGGCGCGGGGGTCAGCGCTGCGGCTGGATTCCCATCCAGTACCCCATCATCTCCGAGTGCAAGTGCTCGTGCTAGAACTCGGGGGGCCTCCTGCCAGCACCCGGACACTTGACGGATCCCCACCGACGCCCCCCAACCGCCTCCAACGAGACCCACCACCCTCTAAGGAGGACTTTTCAATGAACTTTTTTTTTTTTTTTTTTTTTTTTGGCTACGGAGACCTAGCTTTCTGGTTGATGTAATGCACTGTTTAACTGTGTAGGAATGTATATGTGTGTGTATATACGGTCCCAGTTTTAATTTACTTATTAAAAGGTCAGTATTATACGTTAAAAGTTACCGGCTTCTACTGTATTTTTTTAAAAAAAATTAAGCAAAAGTTAAAAAAAAAAAGAACAGAGAAAAGAGAGACTTATTCTGGTTGTTGCTAATAATGTTAACCTGCTATTTATATTCCAGTGCCCTTCGCTTGGCGAAGCAGGGGGGAAAGTTATTTTTTTCTTAAAGTACAAAGAGAGGGGGGAACTTTTGTAGAAGGACTTTTTAAAAGCTATTTTCCATTCTTCGGAAAGTGTTTTGATTTTTCCTTGGACCTCGAAGAAACTATAGAGTTCAATGTTATTTTACAGTTATTGTAAATATAGAGAACAAATGGAATAACTAATCATTGTAAATTAAGAGTATCTGCTATTTATTCTTTATGATATCCCGTGTAGTAAATGAGAAAGAAGTGCAGACCAGGATTAAAGAAAACCACTAAAACCGACTGCTCTGGGCGCTGCGTTTCTGTGTTGGTGATTGGGGGGTGGGGGGTGCGCGGGAAGGGCGGGCAGGGGATGCCGTGTCCTTTGAGAAGAGGGGATCTTCACCCGAGCTCCCCTCCTGTGGGGTGATAGAGGTGAGTGCGGTTTTTCAGTGAAGGGTGCGTTTTTCTCAAACCCCTTTTCCACATCACGTGGCCTCCGCTCTGTCTCCCAGCGTTTTTCCCCTAAGTCACCAAAGCTCGGGCCTATAGTGACCTCGACACCAATGAAACTTGACCCCCGAGGAATGGGGGGGAGGGAGATCAGAGCGAGCCCACCCAGATCCCACCACCCCTCTCGCCTTGCACCCCCACCTCTATATCCAGCGCCTGTTAACCCTTTGCACTCCCGGAAGCTACAGCGGTGAGAACCGAGGCGAGCCCTGGGAATCAACTGCACAGAGCCTCGGGGATCTTGCGGGTCGAGACCCGAAATTCCAGGCCCTGGGCCGGAACTGGGGATACCTGGGAAAAAGGACACTCACCTTGGCCGGCCTCCCCCACCCTCGGGAAGACTCGGAGGTTCAAGGTTTCCGAGGGGTCTGGATTTGCATACAAATCGCCACCTCTGGGAGCTGCTATTGGAATGGGGGGCCCCTCCCGCCGCACCCCACCCCCTCTCTGGGCACCTACACCCCTCGGTGGTGGGTGGATGGGGAGAATTCAGAATCGCGATCTCTGCGCTTTTGTATGATCTCTTCCAGGGCCACGCAGGCGTCATCCCACACGTTCCCAAGCCAACTTCTTGGGACCCGCGCTGGACTCGCGCGCGTCCCTGCGCCCCGGTTCCCCGCGGTGGAGCCCATCCTCGCAGCTCCACGTGGGCCGGCTCCCTGACACCGCTCCCTGGACTTATCTTAGATTGCAAAGTCGCTCTCCTTTGCTCCCTCGCCACCTCCTCGCGCCACCGTCCCGGGTCCCCCCCGCCGCCCCCCCACCCGG